CCACATGCTGGGCTCTGCAGGTGAGCAGGGGACAGGTGCTATCTGTGACTCCTTGTGTAAAACTCAGCAACCATGTTAAGAAGGTATCATCATTATTTCATTACAACCAAGGAGAAGGGCTCAGGTTAAGTAACAACAGAGACGAGGCCACCATTTGTAAGAGACAGCACTGGGATTAGGGCCCACACCTAACCCCGGAGACCTACCGTACCATGACTCGGTTTAAAATGATATTGCTTCAGTGGAAACTATTTCATTCTTTTGATTGTGGTGCTTCTAATCACAACTCAAATCAAAAATTAATGTTCCTTTGCCATGACCGTGTAAAGGAATTCAGTTTACACAGGTGGGGACAGAGAGGGGAGGGGAAGGTCAAGTGATGGAAATGTGGTACGCATTAGACTCTATTTCTTGCCATTTGGCTCCCTTTCCTTTTTGAGGTGGGAGAGTAGGGAAGAAGATACATATGGCCAGAAATTGCTAACATCTTTCCATCTTTCAAGGGTTTATTTTAGGGATACAGATTACCAACAATGTTTGGATAGACAATCAGCTCTCCGAGGCTGATTTCCCAGTGCCTTGTGGGCGGGTGTGCAGCCCACCACCAGGCCACATCCAGGGGCTGCTGGGGCAGGGGTGGGACTGGTCACCACTTCCTCCCCCCACCCGCACCATGCTGACAGTGCCTGGACCCCAGGGTTTGTGCCCCTGGCTGAGTTTGCAATGAAAATGGTGGTGGTGGGCAGGGAAGAGAACACTGGACAGAGGCTGGGGCAGGGTTCCAGCCTGAGTCTCAGTCTTCTATCTGCAAGGTATGAAGCGCTGCCTGCTGCCTGCTGCCTGCCAGCCTGGCAGAATCGCCATCCGGAGGGCCTGCACTGGCAGCACTGGGTGCCAGCAAAGTCCCCAGCACAACTGCCCACCTCGTGCTGCCTCCTCTCTCACCCTGGAGGACGAAGCCACACTAAACCCCCATCTCAGGCCCTCGATGTCAGCCACCGTAACAGCTGGACCCTGAACTAAAATAAAAAGAAAAAAACAATTTTTTTTCTTTTTCTTTATTTAGCAACAATTCAACATCCTCCAAGGGTAGGATATTACTCTCACCTATGAGTTACTGGCAGCAAGAATTCAGAGACCCAGAAACTAAAAACCCAAAATTGGATGCTCCAGTTAGCAGCTGTCCGGGTCTTTCTCAGCAACTTTAAAATAAATAATTCCTTACATACAAGTAGACCTTTTTAGTTTCATTTGACTTGCAATCACCCAAGCTGTATTTTTTGCTCACAAATTAAACTTCCTTGGTAGCCTCCCCACAATGTGTGGCCATATTTCTGAGGCTGAAATGAGACTCAGAAGTCATCACCTATCCCAAACCCACACTTTCTTCAGATCCGTCTTCCTCCTGACTTCCCTGCATCCGCTAATGTGGCCAACGTTCCTCCAATTACCCAGACGCGGCACTTGAATGCAAGGCAACCACTGGCCACGGGCCAATCATTCACATAATCAGTAATGTGGAATTGCTGGAGGAATCCAAGACAGAGCTGATGGGAAAGGTGGGCGTGGGACTGAGTTAGGAATCAGACCTGTAACTCATTTGATTACAGATAATAGTTAGGACAGAAGGTAAGGCATAGAAAAAAGGAGAGAAAAAGGGACCAAGGGAACACCTTTGCTGAGGG